CCTGTTCCGCCCCAGGCGGGGCTCCGGGATCGGGTAGTGGGGCTCGCGGCCCGGGGCGTTTACCTCACGGAGAAGAGAGGAGACCTGGCTGCGAGGCGCGGACTGTGCCAATACCGCGCTGCGCGTCTGCCTCGCGTTTACAAGCCGCGGGGGTGCCTCGGGCGAGTCAGCTATCGACACTTCCTGCCGCCCGGGCGGTGGAACCGCCGGCCCCTCCCTTCGGGAAGGAGCTGGACTCGAAATCCTGGTCGCTCTGAGCCTCGGTGTGCCCTCCTTTGAGAAATGGGGACAATTCCTAGGGAACCATGCCACACTGAAGATGAATGAGCCTGACTGATTTTTCATAACAATGTAGACGTTAATGTGAATGAAACAAAGACGCAGGACAGCGAGTTGCTCTCAATTGTTTTTTAAAAGGGGGGATATACATATAGCAATGTACATAAAAAGCGTCGGAAAGGATACGCAAGAAACTTAAGTCTGTTCCCACAGACAAGGGAACAGGGAAAGTTACTTTTTTGCAGTATACCTTTCAGCATACTTTGGAATTTTAAACCTAATGCAATGTTTATTTTGTAGCTATTGCAGAAATTAAGTTGTTCAAGGGACTATAAAAGGCCTGGTACGTTGTAAGCCTCAAAAAAGTGTCAACATATCCCCCAAAAGGTAAACAATATTTAAATAGGTTTTTGGATTTACTTTTAAACTCACCCCCTGACCACAATCTACTGCTTTGAGCAAGGGATTGGAGCTCCAATACGTGGAGACAGGTAAGTTTACAGAAAGAGACGGGGAGGAAAGAACTTTATGAGTAGGTGAAGCTGTTTTCGAGTCTGTCGGGTCACGCGCTGGGGTTTGTTTATCTGCCGAGGGGAGGGAACCGGGAGAACCAGTACGCTGAGCAATGGCACGTCAGCCGCCCTGCCAGAGCAGCAGCAGACCCGACCGGGGCTTTTGGGCATCTGGAAGCCCCCTTCCTGCCCATTCGGTCCGCACGACACTGGGAATACCGTGCTAGCACCAGACTCCCTAGCAGCCCTGCCTAGAGAAGAAAACGGACTGGAGTGGGGAAACGCGGAAACACAGTCCCAGGGTCAGACAACGCCAGACACCTCGCGGTCCCGGACTTCGGGTGACGACTCCAGACGCCAGAAGACACCCGCGTAGGCGAAGGGTCACCAGCAGCCGCGTGCGCGCAGGCGCGGGA